AAATTATACAAAAAGAAACACAATTTAAATACAAACAAATATAGCCCCACAAAACCATATAATTGTTTTGTCCGCTTGTATCATATATTTTGCTGCAAACATATTTAATGCCTATACTCATATATTGATAAACCAATGGGCATCGCCAAGAGCTGCCTCCTCTTGAGAGTAATCTTGCTATTACTCGATGTTTATTCGATTTTACAGCCTAAACGGCTGAAGAGATCTCGATGAAATTTGAAAGATGTAGAGTAGTTATATTCTGAAAGATATACACGAGATACTAATTAAGTTTTTTCTAAATTCCACGCGGACGGAGTCGAGATATCTAAAATCCCTAAGGGACTACATAGATAACTTAAAAATAAACGCTATGGCTATGGTTAGTTAAGCTCTCCCTTAGTGGTTTTAGGGTGTGTCCACATCACAGTGACCGACTTTCCCTGGACATTGTTACTATAGATCCTGATGGCGGTGATATCCCGCGTGTGTGTGCGCGGCGGGGGCGGCGCGGGGTTTGCCCGACTGGTGGGGCGCGGTTTGCCCGACACCGACCGCGTGCACTACTACGTTGCCCTCGCGCCTGTCGCTGGCTGCCTCATCCGGATATTGGAACCCGAATTGCCCGCAGATGTGAGTATTGTAATGTTAACACTTTATAAGGGCTCGTGATTAACATGTCAAGCGAGCTGCTATAAAGTTTGCTTAGTTTTGTAGCCAGCTAGTAAGGTTACCGCTTGACCACAACTTTACGATATTTTCTTTTTCAGCATTTGATAAAGGTATCGAAAGCGTTAGTAAGCGAGCCTTTGTTCAGAGTTGATGGTCTAGAGTTCATGCTGGGAAGATCAGAAGAAAATCAGTTCTCCTTTTACAACTGTAAGTCACGTTTATTGATTTTAATTATCTCGTAACTCATTGGAGACATAATTATTAGAGTGTCTTTACCACCGTGAATCTAAAATGGTCAAAACGAAGTAAGCAAACTGTATGATCTTGCAGACATCCTCTACATCTTTGCCAATTTTTGTCGAGATCCGTTGAGCCGTTGAAGCTACAAACTCTAATGAACATCCATCCATCCATCTAAACTTTCGCATTTACTATATAAATAAGATGGATGGATGGATAGATATAAAGCATAGTCTAGAACACATAGACTAATTGCTGTGTTTTCATGCATATGGAGTCGCGGGCGAATCCTCAGTAATAGTTTAGGAACTTTTAAAAGTTAAAATTCCACATAACCCTTTTAGATCCAGACGATGTAACCACAGAGGAGTTGGCAGCTCTGGAGGCAGTAGTGAGCCGCCTGCGGGTGGCGCGAGACGCGGTGGTGAAGGTGAGCTCGCCCGGCTCCAGCGGCACGCAGTCGGAGCTGCTCTGCACCATCTGCTACGCCAGGCCGGCCGACACCGCCTTCGTGCCCTGCGGACATCATTCCTGCCGGTGAGTATGAATAGCTAGCTGTTTCAGGGTTCGTCCGCATTAAATTGGAGACCACTGACATGTTTATTGTTATATTAGTAAATTTTTATTACTCTATACTTATACTAATACAATAAAGCGTAAACACGCACAACTTCGTGACGTAGGATGTCAGCAATCACAGCACATTTTTGAGTAATGATTTCTTTAATAAAAAACCCTACAGTTACGTCACGCTTTAGGCTATAAATTGTCACGCTATTAAACTTAAAGGATCAATAAATTGGAAAAAAAACCTTCACGTGGGAAGGACTATAAGCAACCAACATCAGGGAAGCAAGTTTGTCATGATTTGTCATCTTATCATGTCATGATAATTTGACAAATGTAAATAATAAAATAAAATATCCATAATTTCATGCGGATGAAGCCACACGGGAACAGCTAGTTCACCGTTCCAACTAAGCTCTAGACCTGTCCGAGGATATGGTTTACGATACTCGAATGGCGGGATTCGAACCCGCGACTGCAAGATCGGTAGTCCCGCAAACCATAAATTGGGGCATAAGATCTTAAAACAATTGCCGTTACCATGACCTTACTTCTTTAAAGCGAGCTAGTAGTTTTTGTCTCTTACCCGCATGACGATTTCTTCAAATTATTTACTTCCTAAATTTAAAGCGTGAAAATATATAGCCCAAAGCATGGCGTAAGTATAGGGCTTTTTATTAAATAAAGAATAATTCAAAAATATGCTCTGATTGCTGACATCCTACGCCACGAAGTAGTGTGTGTTTACGCTTTAGTATATTAGTATAGAGTATAGCGACATGCTTTTTGATTATTCTGTTTCAAGTTGTCTATATTGCCTAGAAAGGAAGCGGGCAGCTGCGGTAGGGTTTATAATATTAAAAAATAATTGTATTATAGGCCGTGTATAATGCAACATTTACTGAACAGTAAGCAATGTTTCTTCTGCAAAGCGGAGATCGAGTCCGTAAGAGAAATAGAAGTTACGAATAATTGACGATGACATAATACTTTCATTGGATGCTATTAAATCGTTATATATTGAATAATGTGACATAGTTTTATTGACATAAATTGAGATGTATTTAATATTTATTTCGGAACATTTAAAGGTTACATTTTTATTCCACTGAATGTTTTTATAAATATACATTGAAAAGAAATGTGCTTCTGTAATACGAGTATAAATTTCCGCTTGTTTGCTGTTAAATATTTGTAATCAATTTTTGTAACCAAATGTACTTTGGATTTGTACGATTTTGTTTTCAATTTAATATTAAACGTTATTTCATTTTTATGGGATTATTTTTTAATGTTAAACATTTTTAAGAAAGCTGACTGGTTAGAAAGTTATATTTAAAAGTTAACTAGTATGTTTTTAAATATAGAATCTGTCAATCTAATTTAGCATTATAGAATTTATCATTTATTACGTACTATTATAGCTTTCGCCCGTGATAACGTCCGCGAGGAATTAAAAAAAAAGAACTTGGTAGTCTATGGGTCCTTTAAGACTATGTTTTATATTTCTGTCAAATTTCGTCGAGATCTGTTCAGCAGTTTAGGCTACAGACTCTAACAAACATCCATCCATCTATCCAAAATTTTGCATTTATAATGTTACTAGCTTTTGCTCGTGACTCAATTAAAAAAGTGAGTAGCCTATGTGTTTTTTCAGACTATATTCTACATCATTACAAAATTTCATTGAAATACGTTCAGCCCTTTAGGATACAAACTCTTACAAACATCCACTCATCCAACCAAATATTCACATTTATAATATTAGTAAGATTAAGATTAAATTCAGTGTAAAAATAGTATGCCAGTGAAGTGTTAGGTGGGAAGCGGGAAGTGGTAAGGTCGACACTACAATTTCACGCGCTATAAAATTTATGAACGGACGCCATTTCAAAAGAAAGATGGTCTCGCTTTTTTCGTTACATGCAAATTATTTAAACGATACTTTATTCGTGAAAATATTAAGAATCAACGACGACTTGTAATAGCTGAGAATAATGTTTAGCAGCTAAAATTTATGTGTTTAACGACCGAATACTGAAAAGGCTGTTTTATATGATGTTGTCAAAATTTTTATTGAATTTGTAGTGGCTGTATATTTCAAAGTACGCTACAGTAGATCAATTCTAACTGACGTTTTAACTGGACTTTAACTGTTCAGTTAAAACTGTGTGCAATTTTTCAACTTTCATTTGAACTGTGTAGTGGGGCCCATACATAGTTTTTAGAGATATAGCACTATTTGCACCAGGAGTAGAAGTAGAGAGAAGAATTTAAAAGAATTTTGATGTCGTATCTATTGATCGTAAGTATTTCTAAATATGCTTATGTATGGAATCCTATTTTTGACTGACATCCCAAAAGACGGAGGTACTCAATTCGTCTGTATGTTTTTTTTATTTTTTTTTGTGTTTGTTTCTTTCGTAAATCATAAGTCGGTTTCCTTTTATAGTGTTCCCTGTGAATGCGGCAAATAGTAAGTAAACAACATTACAGATAATGTTCCGCAATAAAATACAGAAATTTACGATTAAACGCGTCGCCATAGTAAACTTGTTTACGAGACATCGGTGTTTACCGATTTACCTATACTTCGTTTTAATAACTTTTGTTATTTAAGTGTTTACAATGTTATTTTGATTATGTTCAATGCTTTAAAACAATTTTAGAAGTACAAATCGTCCACTTAATATAACTTTCTTTTTCAAATAAAATTATAAAAAAATATAACTATTTTTTAGAGCAGGTCTTTGACTATCGCAAAAATGTTGTGCGATTGTCGATTGTTTCGCAGCCAATTCAACTGTTTAGTTGCACAACTAAAAATTGAGTAGTGTGCACACCTCTATATAAGTTAACGGGAATTAAAGCTTCAAAGCGCGACTAAACAGTTGTGCGATAGTTTAATTACATCGATCGATCGTGGTTTGGTTTTTTATTACTAATTTAAAATGGTTTAGATTAAACATTATATATCATAAGCAATTTTATATCAGCGATCTGTTATGCGGTCGTAAGATCAGAGTAACCACATAAAAGTAAGATTTACGATAGTTTAGCGAAAGCGGATTCGTTGCTTTTTCGGTTTTCATAAACATAATTAACATTTAGCAATTCCTATTGAATTACTCCGACAGATGAAATATAGCTGATTTATACTAAACGGTTTATTTATAGAAAGGTTTTTAAAATGGTACTGGAAGTTGGAGATAGGACAGATTAGTAAGTAATTAAGTACATAGTTATGGAGATTATGCGTTTGTTAAACACGC